CAAAAGTAATGAATTAGGAAAATGTAGTCGATGTAAGAAAATGTATTATTGTGGAAAAGATTGTCAACAAAAAGATTGGATTCAACATAAATTTGAATGTAAAATTTATAAAAATAATCTTGACCAACTAAAAGTGGCTGAATATAAAGATGATCTATTTGTTCGATTTGTATTACGAACGTATCTGTACTTAATAAACAGCCCTGAAAGTTTTTACGAAAAGCGTCAATTATTAAACGATGAAAATTCAGCAATATGTCTTGCCAATATTGATATTGAGAAACTTGTAGAGCTTGAACAACCTCGACTGATTCGTTTAAAACAATTATTCAAAGAATTGAATTTGCTGAAAATAGAATGGAATGCCCTAAAAATGGTTATATATCATGGTTTATGCTACGACTATGGTTTGGATATTTTCAATTATAAATTACAACATTTAGGTATAGGCTTTTATTTAGCCGAATCACAATTGAAACATTCCGGTTCATCAAATGTTACTACATTGTTCAATGGTACTCAACTTGTAATGCGTGCAACAAGATCGATCAAATCCGGCGAACATATTATCATCGATTATAATAAATGTTGAATTTAATGTTAAAAATTGAAATAGTTAATTTCATCATATTTCTGTAATTAATGTATTACATTATGTTTTGTTTATCAATAAAGAAAATAAATAAAAAAAATTTTGATTTTATTTATTTAAAATATGATGAACGAAACTATCGATTATCGAAACATTTGTTGAATGTTTTTGTTTTGGCTCTTTCTTTTCCTGTTCATTCGAATGATGATTTCGAAATTTCCATTAATGTATGATAGAAAAATCGAAAGTTTGATTAAAAAGCTTTTCATTCATTTCTAAATCTTCTATTCTACAACAACAAGTTGACTTGAAATATTGAAACGAAATTCTCATTTCAAATAGTTTTTCTTAATTTGTTCGTAAAGAATTATCACCGAAAATCAAATTAAAACAATGAAAAGTCATCGTGATTATCAAGCTGGTGAAATAATATCCATCAGTTTACCATTTATACATGTTGTTACCGATAATTTGAAGGGAAAAATTTGTGATTATTGTTTCGTTGAATGGTAAGTTTTCATTTCGAAACCAAAAATTTGTTGAATATAATAATTTTTTTTTCATTTGAATATTTTCAAAAGCAAAAATAATGAATTAGGAAAATGTAGTCGATGTAGGAAAATGTTTTATTGTGGAAAAGAATGTCAACAAAAAGATTGGATTCGTCATAAATTTGAATGTAAATTTTTTCGAAAAAAATATGAGCCATTAACACATGCTTATTTGCAATTAGAATGGATTGATGAATTTTTTCGTTTGGTATTACGATTATATCTGTATATTACAGAAAATCCCGAATCTATTTACGAACAATATAAACTTCTTAACGATGAATATTCAAGCATATGTTTAAATGATATTCGAAATTGGAATTGTCCAGTGATTCATTCAAAACGAATAATGAATGTTGAAAAATTTTCAAATCTATTAAAAATTTTTCAAATTGAACATAATATTGATATATTATATAAATGTTTTGCTATTGGTGCAGAAAATTTTTTCAAAATTTATGATTATCGAATGAAAGAAATTGGTTCAGGTTTATATTTGGCCGAATCAAAATTTCAACATTGTTGTCAACCAAATACAAAATTATTATACAATGGTATACAACTTGTAATGCGTTCAATTAAATCGATTCGAAATGGTGAACAAATTTTCATCAATAATATTAGATATTGTGATATAAATGGACAAATTTTTTGGAGCCCATCGGACAAACATTATTATTTTACATATAAATGTGAATTATGTATGAATTTAGAACGTTTTAATCAAATTGATTCGGAACAATCATTTAAAAATTTACGATTAGAAATTGTTAAAAAATTTATGTCTCGAAATTTCAACGAATCATATAGACTTGTGAAAAAATTTGTAAAAAAATTGGATAAAATCTGTTATGAATGTAATTTGGATTTAATTTTACAGAAAATTTTTCAATTACAACTTTATGTAATGATCCATCAAGATGATGATGATAATGTTAAAGAATTATCTTTAGCCGAATTAGCCAAACGATTGGGAATCAAATTCCCTAATGTTTACGATAAAATATTTGAAAATGTTTATTTTAATCAAGGTGAAACACCAATGATTTTTATTTTGAAAGCATTGGCTAATATTGAATTTAATGTTTAAAAAAACATTGAAACATTTAATCTATCATATCCCTTTTTTTGTATTTAATCCATTTCATTTTTGAATAAAAATCATGTTTTGTTAATCCATAAAAAAATTGAAAAAAAACTTTTGATTTTTTTGAGTAAAAAAATATGATGAACGAAACTATCGATTATTTTGAAACATGAATACTTTGTTTTTCCTGTGT